CCCCAAAACCCCAAAACCCCAAAACCCCAAACGTTAGCTATTAATTGAATTGAAAGGTATTTAAAGAAAAAAAATCAAAAATTTCTCTTAGTTGAGTCATAATAGATATTATCTTTTCTGAGTTGTTTAACCTATAAAACTGTGTAGAGTGCTCCAAATCCAAAGGAAATACTCATGCAAATTTTCATTACAGTTTTCGCATCGTATTTATCCTTGATTTATTCTCCCAATGGTTATATCATGCTTACAAGATAGCTTTGATTAGGCGAACTCATATTAGAATTAGCTAAGCAGATTTCCTCAAGACATGGTCTAAGGATGGAAAAAGCGTACTTTGTTTAAAAGCTAAAACATTTTAAACTGCATGAGGCGACTAATTCATCTGTAAAATCAAGGTCTGGGTAGTAATCTTACTCAAACCTATCGAATTTGAGTTGACTTTTAAGTTACTACATTTTCACAGTTTTATTTTTAAGATTTATTTTCTAATGAAGCTTGGATTCATCTTAACATCTTATCTCAATGCAATCTTTCATTATTCTGAAGGGTTCATTATCGGCGTATCTATTAAAACAATCTCTCGAGCATACTGGGTCTTCCAAATTTTATAAGTTTAAGATTGAAGCTGAAATTTTTTATTTGATGTCTTCATTGATTATTTACTGATAAATACTATCAGGATCACTCGAATCTGATACATCTCTGCCAACATTAATTAGAGTTTAGGAATGCTTTATTTGAAGAAGTGCTTATTTACGTTATTTTTGAGATGTTTCAATGCTAGTTAAAGAGGCATTAAATGAGTTTTGAGCACATTTTTCAAGACAAGCTTAATCGTCAAAATTGCAGTACACAATGCAAGAATAATAAGCCTTCATCTCATTACTGTCAATTTTTTATTAATCTGAATGATCTTCCAACAAGATTTTATTCTGCTATAGTTACTATAGGGATAAGATTTCATAGGCGTTTTGCTTGCACATTGTTATACATATCTCATTCGGATCAGGACATACTCTTTCACACTCCTGCATAAGAGATAAATCTAAGCTTGGTTGTTATTAAAAAGATTTATACTAGATAATATTGTCAGTTAAAAAGCATCGGTCAAAACAACCAGATGATTACTACTGGTACTGACACTAATTTTTACACAAATTGAAATCAACAACAATCTTATCAGAATTTTAGTTGCTGATATCTTCGATAAATTGGTCTGTTTTCTCAAGATTGAGGTTTCTAATTAGTTTCTCAGTAGATCCACAGCATTAGTTATAGCAAGTTTTGACATCTTGAGTATCTACTGGAGTTTCACAAGATGATATACATTAATCTTAACAGTATTGGTTAGGACTCATCAGAATATTTTATATGAATTAACTCTTATTCTCCAGGCCTTTATATTATACCAGATCCTATCCAGATGTAACATGACAGTACGACACACAGTAGATGATCTAGCTCTGGAATTATGTAACCTCTTAGCATTATTAGAGGCACTCCTCAATGTCAAGTTTAGCCTAGCACTTCATGGCTATCATTATTATAAATGGTGCGAAGTGTACTAAATTCTTTAACAAGACAGTCATCATGATTTATTAAGTGTCTTTAATTTGATAGAAAAATAATAATAATCTCAATTATACTTGATTAAATTCACAATGGAAAATATTGAAAATTAAGACTCAGAACTCTAATTTTAGCAAGAGCTTTAGAAAATAGATGTGCCAAGCTTAAGCGAGTTTGAATAAGGCAGATTCTAACTGATGAACTTGACAAAGCAATATGACTTGTCCAGCTATGTTTACCCAATATGCATATCAGATTGCGTTAAAGATAATAGAAATGATAAAAGAGTGTTCTCAACTGAGGAGCTTAGATGTGCAAATAACTGCATCAGCAAATACAGATTGAGTCTCTAGACATTAACTTCTTTTGTGACTCAAAACTTGGGCAACTAATGATCTTCATAGAATAAAAGTTCTTAACTAATGAAATAATTAAGGAAGTATCATAAAAATTCATTAAATAACAGCTAGTCAATCATCATCTCTCATCAATCAAAGATCGCTTGCTTTCTACTCTAGTCTTTCTTTTGCATTTTCCTCCATCATATATTCTTCTAACTACTCAATGTATCTGTCTCTCATCTCCCACCATACTTATAATTCCTTTACTTCTTTCTTTACATCTTGTAGTAGATATTTCCAGAAACTTGGAGCATTAGCTTTTCTTAAGTTGAGAATTAGCTTGCCATCGCCTCTCCATTCGTAAGTACTTTTTTCGGGAATAATCTTTTTCTTAAAAATAACTTCATCTGTATCGAAAATACGAATATTATCCTCTGACTCATAGCAGTAAGCCTGAACTCTGATTCTGTCCTCCTCAATAATAACCTCTCTTTCAAAGCTCTACTTGCAATCTGGAGTATCCATCTGAGAGTGAAGTCTCACCATAAGTAATAAATCTTCAGTGTGTTAAGCCCAGTAGATAACTGGCTTTACTGAGATGAAATTATTGTTCAGCTCTCTCTTTTTAACCTAGAATATGAGGTAATCTTGATTTCTCTTGATATCATTGGCTACGTTTCTAACTATGACCTCAGTATCTATAGATGTTTTTGGGTAATACTCGTCAATCATATATTCACCGGTTTTGAAAAAGTTCTTCTTCAACACAATTTCAAGGCACTAGGATGAAAACTTGAGCTTTTCAGCATGCGCCTTTTTGACTAATTCAAGAGCATCTGCATCAGATCTTAAGCTAGCAAGGTTAGTAATGCAGTCGTAGAAGGCAGCCTGAGATAATTGGAAAAGAACCGCACTTGCTGCCAACACGTATTTCCAGAAACTTTAAGACATTTTAACAATTTAATAAAATCAATTAAAGTTAATTAAAATAGTCGTAATTCAACTACTGCTCTCTTTATTAAATTTGTAATTCTATTTTGTTAAATTAAATGTCAGACCCTCTTGGCGGTAGCAAGCGTGTGGTTAGTTACTTCTACGATGATGATATCGGAAATTACTAGTACAACCAGGGGCATCCAATGAAGCCTTTCAGAGTGAGAATGACCGACGAGATGATAAAGACCTATGGAATGGATAAATAAATGGATAGAATGTTTGTGGAACCAGAGTATATAGAAAGTGTGGACTTTTCAGTATTCCACTCAGATGATTATGTGGATGTACTCAAGAATCTCACTCTTGAAAACAAAGATCTCTATGCTGACTAAATTAATAGATGTAACACTTGTTTAAGGATGATTTGCTTTAGTTAACTTCGGAGAGGACTGTCCTATCTTTGATGGAATGTTCGATTATTGCTAGATCTATACAGCTGGTAGTTTGAGAGGAGCCACATGGCTGGCTTAAGGATTATCAGACATTGCCATCAACTGGTCTGGTGGACTTCATCATGCTAAAAAGATGGAAGCCTCAGGATTTTGCTATGTAAATGACTGTGTGATGGGGATTCTCGAGCTATTGAAAACTTATGAGAGAGTTCTCTATATAGATATTGATTGCCATCACGGAGATGGAGTTGAGGAAGCTTTCTTTACAACAAATAGAGTTATGACTGCTTCATTTCATAAGTTTGGAGACTATTTCCCAGGAACAGGTGCTATTGATGACATTGGAGCTGGTCCTGGAAAGTATTACTCAGTAAATTTTCCATTGAGTGAGGGTGTTGATGATTTTACCTTTGAGTAAGCTTTCAAGCCTGTAATGAAGGAAATCATGAATAGATTCAAGCCTGATTCAATTGTGCTTCAATGTGGCACAGACTCACTCTCTGGAGATAGACTAGGCCTCTTTAATCTCTCAGTAAAAGGGCATGCTGATTGTGTTAAGTATATGAGAACCTTTGGAGTACCGATACTATTGATCGGAGGGGGAGGATATTCCCTGAGGAATGTAGCAAGATGCTGGACTTTTGAAACCTCAGTTGCTTTAGGCATTGAAATAGAAAATGAGATACCCCCTCATGAATACTCACCCTATTTTGGACCTGATTATAGGATACACCTACCAGTTAGCAACATGGAAAATAATAATTCTCGGGAATAAGTAGAAAGGACTACTCAGCAGATCCTATAAAACCTTAAGAATATCACTGCAGTGAATGTTGATCATTCAAACTATCGAAACTAGGGAGCCTATCCGATTAATCATCTTGCTTACGACGATAAAGAAAATAAGTAAGCTATGGAAGATAAGAATAAAGATGTTACAATGGATCAAGAATGAAAGAATTAGTATCACTGTAATATGATTGTAAGTGAGTTCAAACTTAAATCTGCAATTAATATCTCATTTTGGCAATATGTTTGTTTAGTTTCCAATATTTGCAAGCTCGGGGTTTTGGGGTTTTGGGGTTTTGGGG